GCAAACTTGCTAATGGTGCATTCAGCTGCTGCATCCAGATCATTGATACTGAACGGGACTGGCTCTAGAGTTGAACCCTGAGGAACACTGCTGGTGAGCAGTCACCAGCCAGATGTTAGCCCTATTCACTACAACCCTTTGAGCTCTGCCCTTCAGCTAGTTTTTCACCCAGTGTATCATAAACCTGCTCGTCTCACAGTCTGACAACTCGTTCAGGAGGACGCTGTGAGGGACAGCATCAGAAGCCTTACTAAAAATCTAGGAAAAACTGCACACACCGCCTTGCATTCATCTACTTGGTGGGTGACCTTATCATAGAAGTATGTCAAATTAAACAGGACTGTCCCCTTTGTGAACCCATGTTGACTGTGCCTGATGATTGCCTTATTCTTTAAATACCTTCCAGTAGTACCCGGTATAATCTTCTCCATAATTTTTCCAGGAACTGAGGTTAGACTACTGTAGCTTTTCTTCCCTAACACCCTTTTCGTAAATTGGAATAACACCGGCTAGCTCCCGGTCACCAGGGACCTCCCCAGAGTCCCAAGGCCTTTAGTAGACGATTGAGAGGGGTCCCACCGTAACATCTGCTACCTCCTTCAGTACCCTGGGATGAGTCCCATCAGGCCTCATGGACTTGTGAACATTCAGCTGATACAGCTGGTCCCCTACAATTGCAGTGTCCACAAATGGAAAGCCGCTGTTCCCACACTTGTGGTCCTCCAATTTGGGACCGGGCAGCCTAAGGTCTATCAATATTGTTAAAGACTGAGGCAAAAAAAAAAAAAGGCACTGAATCCTTCTGTTTTTTCTTCATCCCTATTAATTAAACATCCATCTTCAAGTATTGATCCAACATTCTCTTTAGACCTCCTCTTGCTATTAACATACTTCAAAAAGCCTTTTAAGGGATCATAGAGCAGTTTACAAAGGAAGCAAACCTTGTATCTCAGATGAGTTTTCAAGCAAATGAAGTGACTGCTGAGGAAAACATATTTACAGGGAAGGTGAGATTTTTCCAGGTCTATACCACAAAACTTCATTCTGTCTGGTAGGGTAAAGGATGTCTCCTGTTCTCCAAGCATTGAATCTTAATGCTCTTCTGGTTTTCTGTTTCTCTTCCACTTCCAGGCTATAGGGAAATTATTCATAGTGATGAGAGTGGTTACTTTCAGCTAGATCCAGATGTAAAAATGTCTTGCGTCTGGGTGGGGTGTGCTAGCGAGACCAGCTGCTTTCTTGATGCAGCCTGTGACCATCTGCATAACTCTAATTCTGTGGAATTGAAGCTGCCTGTCAGCTATGGCAGTGCTGAGTAAGATACCATTAAGCATGACCTTGCTGCTGCTTCCTTTCCTGTTGTACTACTTTAATATTTTGCAATGTGATATTTTTTCCCTTTCTAAAAGTTATATCAGGTTTGTTTAATTTGCCTTTTTTTCTTATGTCTTCTGAAGCCTAGTAATGTAATTTATCAATCTTAGTAATTACACATCTCATTTTAGCAGTACATATGTGTGTGTGTGATATTTTTGTCTAACACTTTTCAGTGTCTTGTGCTGATTCATGCTTCCCTTATTCTGCCACTTCTCTATAGTGTTACGAAATAGTAGGGTACAAACTGCATGACCCTCTACTACTTATGGAGAAGTTTGAGCTAAAGAAAATATTAAATGTTGTTCAGGACAGGTTGAAGTTTACTATTTGCTTAGAATGTTGACTTCGCTATCTGACAATATTTTTGTATTGCTCATGTCACCGTATCCACTTTTTCTAGTGAAGCATTTAACATGAAAGCCAGTACCTCTATCTTTCCCATCATCTAGCCTTGGACTAATCCCTGTAATGAGCCCACAGGTTTTCTTTCTGTCTGGGGTACGTACTTATACAAAGCATCTGTCTAGATGTTCATGCTTTGTAGCAGTATCTACTGACCACAAGAAATGAAGTTGAATGCTCCAGAAAGCAGAATTTAAGGGATCTTTTTATTTTAAGAAGCATGTTCTTAAAGCTTATTAACTGACAAACTATGCTATCTAAAACTCACCCTGGCTGGGTGGGCAACAACTGAAATTAGAGGTGCTCTCTGCTGAGGAAGGTCCATTTTTAGTACTGTTACTCAAGTGGATCTCCGCTTTGATGTAAAGCCAGCAGCATTTCTTTATGTAAAGCATTAGGGAGACATCTCAAGGCACTGGGAATGGATCTAGGAGGGAGCTCTTTGCTTTTCTGTAAATATGCATACACTGAACTTCTGGAGGAGAGTGTGGGGCTATGCTGGGAGAAGGAGCAGGCTGATAGCACTGAAGACTTGTACTGTGAGATGAGGATTGTTACCTGTGAAGATTTAGGGATGGTAGATTCTGCCAGCAAACCTTTCCAAGTGTTTGAAAACATTTTAATATTGACATCCCAGCTGAAAATTCTTCCTTGTTAGAGATATTGGACTTATTTTGTTGTCAGTGATGGGAAAACCTTTTCTTTTTGGATCAAAGATGAGAAGGAAAGACTTGCCTCCTGCCTGTTGTGGTTGATACTAGTCGTTTGTGGTATAGCCTTACCTTTCCACTTGGCTTCATTTGCAGTAAAGAATAGGTGGTGGCTGTTAAGGAAGAGTGCTGTCCTGAGCAAGCTTCTTACTGTTGAGGTACTGAAGAGGTGAGAGATGTGAGGGCTGGTCAATGCTAGCATGCTTATCAGTCAGCAGTGTCTGACAAACCAGTGCTGTTACTGGCTGGCTCACAGGCTCGATGGGCTGTTTTTTGTAGCTTGCAAAATCTCTGAAGATCAAGTGTTTCACCTCAAAAATTCCACAAGATGTTTAGGATTTTGCCAGCCTCCAGTTTAGATACATCTTCTCTGTCCAATGCTTAAGGACTGCTATACTCAGTCAAGCAGTGGATATTTGTGCCATAATCCAGTGAGTGATAATGAACAAAAGAGATACCGGGTACTCAACAACAGGTTGGATATTTTTACTTTTATCTGCCTGTGCTTTAAAGAAAAACTCAAAGAGCTCGAACCTATTTGGAAGGAATTGGTGGCAGGGGACACACTGGATGCTATGACTAAGTCTGACCATCAAAGTGGTTCTCAAAGATACGGAGTAGGAAATTGTCCCTCAAGGGCAGATTGCTTTCCACACCCCAGGACAGTGTGTGTCCTAAGTCTGTCTGCATTTCTGGATCAAGCCTTGTTTAAAGATAAACTTTATAATTGTCTTGATCTATCTCATGAAAGCTGCTTAGGATGGGCCACCAAGAGGCCCCCTCGGTTCTAAGTAGTTGTTTGTCTGGCTCCCCTATCTCACTGTAGAAGTACTTAAGACCAAGAGGGATTTGGCCAGTAACTGATGTGTGGTTCTGCTTTTTGAAGACTCGAGAAACTGTCTTGGTTTTCCACATGTCTGCTGTAGAGTTACAGTAGTTTCCAAGATTTTAGTTTCGTGCTTTTAAGATTGAACACACACAGGAAGTTAACAATGCAAATCAGTATTGAAGGTTTAAACCACTTCCTTTTTTGTGTGTATGCACTGATAAAACAGTTACTTTGTAATTCAAACTACAGTAGTTCGCTTTGGATCTCCATACACAAAACCATGTTTTAAAACCCATTCCCCCACCCCAGAAAGCAGACTTCAGAACCCTTTTTTCACCATTTTGATGATGACTATTGGATACGTTTAATCTTCAATCTGTATAAAAGTTATACCTTGCATTAAATCCTTTTTTTTTTTTTCCTGTGGATTTCTGAAGTAATCCTCTGTATGCCATGTAGCTTGTTCCTCACATAGCTTGCATACAACCTCTTCATTTCTAGGAGTTCTGCTTAGAAAGTTTTAAAACATTGATTTTAAACAGTTCAGCTGGATATACATTTCTAACCAGAAGTCAGCATTATTCAACAGGTTAAGATTTGAGGGGCAGAATGTATCTGTTCAGTACTTTCTGAAATTTTGTCAGTGAGTTTGAGTCAAATGGGGCACTTGGCAGAGGAGTCAGTGATGTACTTGGTAATGAGTAAGAACCTTTTTGTAATGGCTTTTATTGGGATTTCTTTCTTCTTGAAGATTTCATGGGAAAGAAAGAATCCATTCAAAAGGGAGTATATATATTCACAGTATACCAGTAGACAGATCTTGCTAGACTGTTAATGTGTACTGAAACATTCTCCTTTCTGTATCGTCATGTTCTATGCATCTGCAAGATTTTTTCATCATCATTATGTATCTTAATGTAGAACAGGTAGTGAGAGTCTAGCATTTCTTTTCCGGCTTATCCTGGGTATTTTTTTTTTAATATTTTACTTTAAAAAGAAAAAAAAATCAGAAAAATCTGATATAAAAGAAAAGGTATAAAACTGCTTGACATTGGCCATCTCTTGATGCCTTTAACCATGTAAGGATTTACACTAACCCCTAGAGTATGTCAGGATAGTTGATTTTATTTCACTGTAAAAACTGTGCAAGAATCTCATCCTCACTGTTCATGCTGTAACTTTTGGCTTCCTTCTCACCCCTGTCAGGTCACACACTGCAGATCTAAGTGGAAAGTTTTTTCATCACAGGGTGGATTCAGTGATCTCGTTTACATAGTGCAGTGCTACAGATGTTGTGTTGATGTAACTGATGGAAGCGGTGAACTGCAGTGTGTGGGCAGGAGTGAGTAGCTAACGTGGGAACTGAGACCCTCATAAGGTGCCTTTGCTGAGGCTAATGTAATGTGTAAATATATATCCTCAGCCATCCTGGCAGTACTAGGGGGTTTGAGTTCTATATAAGTTGCAGTCACCTTGTACTAGGCTTGTGTTCTGACATCTATTCTGTAGTGTTTTTTCAAGCTGTACTATGAAATAATGTTTAGCTCAAAACAGTTAAAAGTATGTCTAGATTCTACTCATGCATATTTTAATAAGTTTAACTGATCACTGAACCTGATTTTTTTTTTAATACATATCTTTATTCTGTTGTTGAAAAGCTAAGTTGAGATTTTTCTTTGCAGAGAAAGCCGCTTCATTGTGCTAGCAAATTACAGAACAGCTGTCTTCTCAGACGTGTAAACAGAAAGGATATTCTCTGCTACCTTTTTTAAATGGTAAGTTGTTCAAGGGAGCTCTTACTGAACATAGCTGGTCACTGACTTTGCATTTGTGTGAGTATTACAAATAGCTTTGAAAACTGTGGTAAGTCCCTTAAACTGAAGACCAGTGACGAAGTCTGGAAACTGTACAGAAGGTTTTGAGTTAGCATTGGGAAGGAGGTTTATAGTTTTGTGATGTTGAGGATATGCTGTTTTAGGCCCTGAAACAAATGTCAAAACCACTGCTAGCTCAGGAGACTTTAAACAATAATCTTATTGTGTAGAAAACAGAAATAAATTTACTTTAATCATAGATGTTCATGAGATATTGGATTTATAAATTTGCATCTGTTAATTACTTTTACCCTGTATAATCTGTACTTTGCTGATGTGTCATCTTAGAGATCTAAACTAAATCTGCTGAGGTTAAGTGTTTGACTGTTTGCCTCAAAGTGCAATGGATAATAAAAGATTTATATTTATTGATATTAAACTAGTTTTGTGTGGAGAGGGGGGGGTTTCCAATCTGTCTCAGCTGTGACATGCACACCACAGACTATTAGATGAGGAATATCTGTTGTGTTGGTGAAGAGTACGAAAACAGCTGTGTTGCACTTTCAGTGTGGTGTAAGATGTGGGCCACTGCATGGTGCTAATGAAGGACTATTGCCAAGTGCAGACAATTTTGTTAGAATCAAAGTAAAGATAATTATTATAATTTTTTTCTTTTAGGGGGCTGCAGCTTGTCTGCTTGTGCAGTGGAAAAGAGAAACCTTTTGAGCAGGGGAAGAAGCTGGAGAGCAGGTTGGTTTGTTCTTCCTTCTGAGAGGATGAGGAGGTTAAAAGTTAATAATAGCTACTCATAGGAAAGATGACTTTCTTCCTTCATTGCACACCACAGTGCTGCCTTTGGCAGAAACTGCAGCCAGCCTTGCTTCAAGGTGTCTGAAATAGCAAAGTATGCAGCAGTGCTTTAGGATACTGTTGACTTTGCCTGTGTCATAAAGCTGACTCTGGCTATGATCCTTTGGCACACTTTGTCTCCTCAGCCAAAATTCACATATGCTTATTTTAATTATGAGTTCTGATTATATACTTGATAATTATCAGTATGTATGTTGTGAAAGAGATTGCACTGTAAATTACAAAAAACACAAAGGAGTTCTGGAAAACTCTGCTACGTATGCATGCATTCACAATGTAAAGTAAGAAAGCTTATTGTGAAGGATGGAGGGATGAGGAAGCAATATGGTGCACACAAAAATGCAAAAAGGTGTGGCAACAGCCTTGGAAGGAGAAGGATGAAAGAAAACCCATTCGTGCCCCTCCTGCCATTCCTATTTAATGTTAAGGTAACTTGATGGTTAAATACTGAAATTGTTTTGGGAAAAAAGACCACTTACTGTAAATTTCTAAGACAGAGGAAGTGTGCCAGGGTTCCCTTTTTATATTATAAGCTTAAAAATTGTTACAGCACCGTTATATTTCAGTTGCATTTCATGCTGCACGGAAACATTGTTGCTTGCTTTTATCTATGGGATGTTGTAGAGATTAGTTGTTGTGCGAATAAGAACCTAGGTTGCATTTATTCATGAACCTTCAAAAATTATTTTGAGACATATGCTGTTCATATTCAGTATTGTATTATCAAATTTTAAATTTTTTTGTGAAGGCTAAGCATAGCTCATGTAAAGTTTAACTGAAATGTACTTAGTGTTTAATAGTCTGGAGTTTAGTTGAAGGGTATTCAAAGACAGAATGCTGAACATACTTGAAAATAATCAGCCTTTGAGTTTTTTTTTAAAAAATACTCAGAACTAATTTTAGTAAACATAAATTCTAATTTTTTGTTGAACACTGATCATTTGTGCATCACAAACGTTCTAATAGGACATACAATTTGGAAACTCCACCTGGTAAATAAAGTGACAAGCTTGTATTTAAAGTAAGGATTGATTTCTACAGAAATGTAGTATTTTGCTTGTTAAATTTCTGCTTCAAAGAATTTCACTTACAATTCATAATTAAAAATTTAAATGGATTAATTTGTCTGTTTCTCATGTACAGTAAGGTGTTCTAATTTTAAATCAAGCCATTCGTTTTGTCACTTGGTTTATAATTGTACCTTGTTTTTTCTTGCTTCTCTGGATTTCCTAGTGTGTTTTGCTAATATAAATGTCCCCAAAAGTTGTCAAGTTGCTCAGAATAAAATATAACTACTAGATATTTGTGAAAGTCTGTTGATTGTTTAACATGCCATCTCGTGTTAAGTAGCATGCACTGGCTTTGCCAAACTTCCATTGGAATCCTACAACACCACACTATGAAAGTGTTTCCCACAAAGGAAGTTAGAGAGCGTGTAGTTAGGAAGGAAATACCAAATGCAGGGCTTGACCCTGAGGTTTACCAACCTAAATACCAATTTGGTAGACCAGTTGAAGAGCTCCTTTAGAATTGCTTGTACGTGATGACAAGAAATACATGTTTATAGTTAGTTTGGCGTATAAAAATGTTGCATATTCAGTTGTATGTGTTGAAGATGTTAAAATTATGTTTGATTACTGTGTGAATAAGACTGTTCCAGTGTTTATAAAAACTTTTATTATGAAAGCAACTTAGATATTTTTAGTCAAGGTTAAACCAAATGTATTTGCAGAGACTTTTACCTGTACTATGACTCATCAGTCGCATAATCTGTGTCCTTTGTGGCTGGCAAATTATAGAATGATTTAGTAACTTAAATTCTTGATTTAAAACAAAATATTAAGAAAAATTTCCTCCAAATTGTCTTCAGAAGACTACAGTTTGCATTTTCCCTGATGGAAAAGCTTTTCAGAAATGGAGAGAATAAGTGCAAAAGGTAGGTTGGGCAGGAGAGAGAAATAGTCTTCTGGAGAATGGTGGAAGGTTTTTGGACTGCTCAAGTAAAAGCTGAAGATCACCAATTACATAGCAGTGGATGGGGGGAAGGAGTTAGACCAGTGTTTCCCAAATGGTCTCCTGGGGAGTAAAAAGGTCTATGAGAGAGGAGAAAGTATCGCAGAATCCTTGCATTACAAATGGTGAAGCCAAAATGAGGTGCAACTGGTTTTGGGAGAGACTGGCTTAAAACATGATAGAGAAGTCTGATCACAGATTCTGATCTTAATTAAGAGGTGCATGCATTTTCTATGAGCTTTTCTTGTTTTCTGTCTGATTTTGGTATTAGAAGAGGCTGGATGTTTGGGCTTAATGCTTGCCTGTCTCGGGTTGAGCTCTATTCAGTGTGTGCTTATTTATGGTTTGGACTTCATAGGATGGAGTTGAAGGACTTTATATTTTTAAATTGCAGCCTGTCAAAATGGGCTTGCTGTTAATACACAGGGAGTAATTTGGTAAAACTGGCATCTGTGCTGTGAGAGCCTTAATATGCCCATCATGTTTTCAAGATAGTGATATGAATGCATACAGAAATAATTCTTCATTATCACTGTCTGAAACTAGGAAGTTCAGTGCTACTTCAATACTGCAAATAAATGCAGTCATTGGCCTCTTCTCTGAACTTTTTCTATGATTGGCATCATAGTAACTTCTCTTTTGAATTATGCAGCTAGTGCATAGGGATCTGCTTGAAGATGAGGTTTAAATCTTGGTTGCCTGTGCAGTGATTAACTAAATCAGTTTCTAAATTTAACTGATATAGTTAAATTGCTTCTTGAACTGTATGTAGATTAGTCTCTAATGGCTTGATTTTTTTTTTTTCATATGTGCAGCTTGTAGCCTCTGTAGATTACATTGACTATTTTAAAGCGTAGTTAAGAGCAATGTAAGTATTGATAGGTTTGTTGCATAGTTTGGTGGGGTGTATGGATGATCAGTGTAATCACAGATCGTTTTAAATGACAGTCTTTGAGTATCAGGGTCAACAGGTTTGTGCCTAACGTTACCCTGTCAGTCCACAAAAACTCTGGTCTCCAATGCAGTTGCACAAGTTCTGTTCAGTTTGATGTGATTCTCACATAGCCTCAGGCAGGGTGCCAACAACCGCGGTATTGCCTCCTGGAGTCTCATCACAGAGATGGAAATAGCAATCCTCTTTTTGCTCCGCAACCAGCTGGTTGCAGCCGTAGTCAAGAAATCTATTTCTCTTGGATTGTGGGATCCCATCAGCTCAATGTGTTTTAAACTAATAATTGCATTTTACAATAGCACGTTTTATCACCAGGATAACAGCAGCAGCAGTGTGGGGGTGGAGGCCAGTGTATAATAAATTTGCTTTAGAATTCTGCACCTTTCCTTGTTTCTGTTGTTTAAAGAAAAAAAAACAAACAAACAAACAAAAAAAAAAAACCAAAAAACAAACAAACAAAAAAACCCCCTACCCTGGGTGTTAACATTCTGGGATTTAAACTTTTTTCCATTGTTTTCACTTCAGCATGTTTAGGTTCAAAATCTATTTACTTGTGTTAAGAATGACCATCTACTTCTATGAAGCTTTTCTGTTCAACACCATTTAATGATGGATCAATACTGAAAATATCTTGGTCCCATATGCAAAATATTTTGAAGCAAACTCATGGCACACTTCAGGACTAACCACAGTGGGACTGTAGTGGGGAAATTAATCAATTTTTTTTTTCTTTAAAATAGGTGTTGAAATTAATTTAAAAATGCTTTTTTAATTAAGTTCATAAGAGACTGCAGTGATCATCAGGATGGAGATGGTTGCCCTTTCCTCTTTAAATTCAGGAATAAAATGAAAGCATGTTTTATCAATACACATGGTAGTCATATACCTTTTCTTGTAACTAAACTAATAACTTAAAAGCTTCCTTATTTTTCATGTGCAGTTCGTCTATAGGATTAAACAGACTGCCCTTAAATTCCATTTCACGTTGCAGCTACAAAGCTGCTTTATGTAGCTGCCTCAACTACTCATTAAAGCAGTTTAAAAATAGGTATTAATGGCTCCTTATACTTTTTTTTTTTAAAAAAAGGGCACTCGGAATCTTTGCAGGCAGGTGCCTGATCTGTATCCTGCCAGCATTTAGTTAGCTAGGTACATTTACCAGCAGTTTGAGGAGAATCTGCATTTAGTCCTGAGGGTTTGTGGAAAGAGTTGACATGTTATGGGGCCTGCCTGAGTTTTCATATTCAAATAAGAACACAGTAGTTGAATAAGATATCTTACCCTGACAGTGGGAGAGGAGTTGAGGACTTCTGTGGGGAGTGGATAGGAAAGAGGGAGGAACAACTACCAGGTCCCATTCTTTTAGTTACTGGACCCTTTTTTGAGAGTAAGAAAAAGTCTATAGAATCTGTCTATGACTAGTAAAAAGTCCTAATTTAAAAAAATAAAGTTAAGAACAAGGTTTTGTACCACTCAGGTCTTGTAGGCAAACATCTGAATGTAAAACTGTGGGGGGTGGGGAGGAAGGGAAGGGGAAGGGTAGTTGGAAGCACTGATTTATCTCTCTCCCCTTAGTTACCAGTGCCTCCAGCTCTTGTTGGACCAGCTGGCATCTTCTAAAGTAGTAGTAAAATATGACATGGGCAAAAGTGAGGTGTACAAAGTAGAGTCCAAGCTAATAAACTCCCGGGTAGAGGAAAGCATCTGTGAGACGTGTGAAGGACACAACAGCCTTCCTTGCTGTATTGGCAGCTGGAGTAAGAGTATGCAAGAAGCGGGGGTGCGAGAAGGGAAGGAGAAGGCACTGTCAGTAGGGCTCCTGCACAGGAGGAAACGGTTGGACTATGGCTCTCAAATGTGGGTAGGGCTTCTTATGAGTAAAAAACTCAGTATAAAACTGAGCAGCTTCTCTTCA